TCCTCACTCTTACGGAAAAGCACAAGTCAGCTTGGCGTCTCAAAGTTGAAGGGTTAATAGTTCTACAGCAAACACAAAGGTTATCTGCAGACAGAAATGGCTGGCCAAGGGACCATACCATGTGTGCATGTTAAAAGTCTGGTGGATCCAGAGAAGAGATACCTATCAGGGAATCAAATGTAGCCAGCATACATGCTAACACAAATATCCAAGCAAACCTACTCAGATGAGTCCCCTTCAAACACTCTTTATAAAGGTTTCCTCATGTTATTTACAATTTCAAAGTAAATTTACTTTATAAGCAGCTAGGGAATTCTTTATTTAGTAATGTCCTAACATAAAAGTTCACATAACTGCTTCTGTCAAACTATGATACTGAGTTTTATGACAACCCAGAAATGAGAACTAAGAGAAGGCAAACAGTGCCTTAGAGATCAAGAAACATTTACACAGTTCAACTGTTAAAAATAGTTCAACATTCAGTTAGTGAGCAGAGTGTGGATGTCAGTATACACAGTACACAAGTCTTCAGGGAGGAGAGAGACCTTTTGTCTGTTCTTCAGATGCCTCCAAATGCTGGTCCTGCGGAACCTCTTTCTTAGGCTGGTTTTCTTCCAACTCAGTTTGGGGTCTGACACTCATGTTTTCAGATTTCCAGGAAACGTGACTACCTGCCTGCTGCATAAAAGAGCAGATGTAAATACCACAAAGGCATTACCATTTTCACTCAATTAAGTAGCTAAAGCCCTATGACTAGGCACATTCTATCACTGAGTGAAAAATTTAGCACTAATATCTCAGGTCAAATTAAAACAATTAGTAAACAGGATAAAAAGCTCTACAGAACTACAATTTCAAAAGCCCTACTAAAAACTCACTTGTTCCAAGTAACAGTCATTATCACAAAATTCCAGTAAATTCAATTTAACAGTATTTGACCTGGAGTTTAAGAACATAAGCCAAGGTTGGAGAAAGAAAGCCTCCCTTTCACTTTTGACAAACAGGCAACAACACTCAACCCTGTGTATCTGTGGGTTCCATATATGCAGATTAAACCAACCACAGATCAAAAATATTTAAAGAAGTAAATAAGTACAAGAAAAAAATAACAACAATAAAAAAATGCAAAATATAAAAAACACAGTATAATGACTATTTGTATAACATACATTGTATTATAAGTAATCTGTAGATTATCAAAGTACAAGGGAGGATGTGCTTAGGTTATAAGCAGATACCACATCACCTTATATAAGGGACTTGAGCATCTGAGAATTTTGGTATCTGCGGGAATCTTGGAATTAATTCCACCCGTGGATACCAAGAGACAATTATAATCCTACTTACAATTTTTTTTTTTTTTGAGTTAGAGTCTCACTGTCACCCAGACTGGAGTGCAGGGCCGCTCCCAGCCACTGCAGCCTCAACTTGCTGGGATCCGGCAATCCTTCCGCCTCAGCCTTCCAAGTAGCTGGAACTACAGGCGTGCACTACCACACCCAGCTAATTTTTTGATTTTATTGTAGAGATGAGGTCTCGCCAAGTTGCCCAAGCAGGTCTCAAACCCGCAGGCTCAGGCAATTCACTCACCTCAGCCTCCCAAAGCGCGGGATTATAGGCTGAATCATGGAGCCCGGCTCCTACTTACAATTTTAACAATAAAATACTCACAGTCTTTGCTTCTCCTACACGTCTTAAAATGACACCTTCTGCCAATAAAGCTTTCCCTGTTTCCACAAATAATTTTTCCTCATCTGTTTCTCCAAGTTTCTGCAGCTCAATGTACTTCTCCACAAACCTGGAATTCCAAGCAGTCACATCTTAGATCTGAATGTCAGAGTCACTGAGACGTGCTGTTACACAACATCAAGTATTCCCTCAAGAGATCTTCCTACAGGAACAGTTTTTTCAACAAAATTCCTCAAATTGATAACTAAATCCTTAAAAAAATAATAATAATAACCTAAGAATTATAAAATGGCTTACCGTTGACAGACAGACTTGAAGTTTGGATTGAACAGATCAAAAGCCTTTTGACCAGATCCATAGGCTGAATAAAATTTCCTAGAAAATGCAAACACCACGATACAAATCTCCAGTTATATTACTGAAGTGGAGTGAAAGGAATAAAGAATAACTGCTAGGCCCTGAGGAGTTAAGGCATGACCCACATAACCTAAGCGAAACAATTTTGTTTCTTAAGTAAGTAATGCAGGCATGTGCATGGTGAATACAGCAAATGGTACAAAAGGACAACCAGTGGAAAGCAATACTCCCTCACCATTCTGCACACCAATCCCCTAGTTCCCCTCCCAGGAAGCAACACAAACCAGTTTGTAGTATATCCATCCAGAGGTACTCCACGAACACACAAGCATATGTGCACTGTCATTCCTGTTCGCAGCCCCATTTTTTAATCCAAAAAATAATGAACCCTGCCCTCCCTCCTGCCTTTTTAAAAACTGAGGCAAATTCACATATCATAACACTAACTGTTTGTTTTGTTTTGTTTTTTTGAGTAGGAGTCTCACTCTGTCACCCAGGCTGGAGTACAGTGGCATGCTCACAGCCACGGCAGCCTTGACCTGTTGAGCTCCAGCAATCCTTCAGCCTCAGCCTTCCCAGTACCTGGAACTACAGACACGCACCACCACACCCAACTAATTTTTTGATTTATTGTAGAGATGAGGTCTCACCAAATTGCTCAGTCTGGTCTCAAACCTGTGGGCTCAGGCAATCCTCTCACCTTGGCCTCCCAAAATGCTGACATGAGCCACCACACCCGGCCACATTAACAATTTTTAAGTGTACAATTAAGTGACATTTAGTATACTCACAAAGTTACGCAACTATCACCTCTATCTAGTTCCAAAACATTTTCAGCAACTTCAAAGGAGGCTCTGTACCCCTTAAGCAGTCACTCCCCATTTCCTCTCCGGCCATCTTGCCTTTTTTACTTAACATTTCTTAAAGATCATCATTGCCTGTAGATTGTTTCTAGCCCTGTGCTACTCTAGGCAGTGCTGCAATGATTACCTCTATTTACAATTCTTTTTTTTTTTTGAGTTGGAGTCTCACTCTGTCGCCCAGACTGGAGTGCAGTGGCCGCTCCCAGCCACCGCAGCCTCGACCTGCTGTGCTCTGGTGATCCTTCCGCCTCAGCCTTCCAAGTAGCTGGAACTACAGGCGTGTGCTACCACACCCGGCTAGTTTTTGATTTATTGTAGAGATGAGGTCTTGCCAAGTTGCCCAGGCGGGTTTTGAACCCACAGGCTCAGGCAATCCACTCACCTCGGCCTCCCAAAGCGCAGGACTACAGGTTGAGCCACTGATCCCGGCCTATTTACAATTCTTAATGCACTGTGCAAATAAGCCTGTGGAATAAACTCATAAAAATGGTATTACTAGCCGGGCTCGGTGGCTCAGCCTGTAATCCCACGACTTTGGGAGGCTGAGGTGAGTGGATTGCCTGAGCCCACAGGTTCAAGACCCGCCTGGGCAGGCGAGACCTCATCTCTACAATTAAATCAAAAAATTAGCTGGGAATGGTAGCGCGCACCTATAATTCCGGCTACTCAGAAGGCTGAGGCGGAAGGATCGCCGAAGCCCAGCAGGTCGAGGCTGCGGTAGCCAGGAGCGGCCACTGCACTCCAGTCTGGGCGACAGAGTGAGATTCCAACTCAAAAAAAAAAAAATGGTATTACTGTATCAACATATCTGCATTTGTAATGAAGCTTTCTAAATTGCCAAAATGCTTTCCAAAGTGGTTGTACCAATTTACAAACACACAAGTATGAGTGCCCATCTCCCCATATCCTGACCAAATGACATTCTCCAGCCAAGTGGGAAGCTCGAACCTGTAGTCCTAGTTGCTCAGGAAGTTGAGGCAAGAGGACTGCTTAAGGACAGAAATTCACAACCAACATGGGCAACTTAGCAAGACTCTGTCTCTTTAAAAAAAACATAGCCAGGTACAGTGGCTCATGCCTGTAATCTCAGCATGTTGGGAGATGGAGACAAAGGGGTTGGAGATCAGCCTGGGGAACTTGGCGAGACCTCCTCTCTACAATAAATCAAAAAAATTACCTAGGCATGGTTGCGCGCCTGTAGTTCCAGCTACTTGGAAGGCTGAGGTGGAAGGATCGCCGGAGCCCAGCAGGTCGAGGCCAGGGTGGCCACAAGTGTGTTATTGTACTCCAGCCTGAGCGACAGTGAGACTCTGACCCAAAATATATATATACACACACATATATATAATACATTATATATATTTAACTATGTAACAATATGTCATATAAGTACATATACATATAATTATATATTTTAATTTTTTTATCTTTGCCAAGATAGGTGAGAAATCGTTACTTTCTGTAGTTTTAACTTGATTTTCTTATGAGACTGGATGGCTTTTCAAATTTTAAAGCAAACTTAATTTTCTTTTCTGTGAACTGTCCATGTCCTTTGCCCATTTTTCTATTTGGTGGTTGCTATGCACTGAATGTTTGTGTCCCCCCAAAATTCATGTTGAAAGGCTAATCGCAATGTGATGGTATTTGAAGTTGAGGCCTTTGGGAGGTAATCAGGTCATGGCTGGAGCCTTCAGGACAGACCATGCTAGAACACTGATCTCAGACTTCCCAGCCTCCAGTACTATAAGAAATAAATTTCATGAGTCAGGTGCACTGGCTCACACCATAATCTGCCCTTTGGGAGGATGAGGCAAGAGGATTGCTTGAGCCTAGGAATTCAACACCAGCCTAGGCAACACAGCAAAATCTCATCTCTATAAAAAAATTTCAAAATGAGCCAGACATAGTGGTGTGCACCTATAGTCTCAGTTGCTCAGGAGGTTGAGACAGAAGGATCCACCTAAGCCCAGGAGGTCGAGGCTATGGTGAACTGTGATTGTGCCACTGCACGCCACCTGAGTGGCAGAGTGAGACCCTGATTCAAAAATCAAATAAAATTCCACCCAGTCTATGGTAATTTGCTACAGCAGCCCAAGTTAAAACAATGGTCTTTTTCTTATTTATCTGTAAGCAAACTTTGTAGTCATATAAATAGAAAATCAGTCCATCAGGTAATTTGCAAAAATCTTTCCCAGTTTGTTATGTGTCATTTGATTTTGCTTATGGTATTTTATTGTGCAGAAAATTTTTAAATTGTCTTTTATGGCTTCTGAATTTTATGTCATGCTTAGAAAGGCCTTTATCACTCAGATTTTTAAAAAATTCTCCCATGTTTTCTTCCAATACTGTTATAATTTCACTTTATTTGGTTATACATTTTTTATTTCTGTTTTTAAGAAACAGGGTCTTGCTATTTTGCCCAGGTTGGAGTACAGTGACTATTCACATGTATAATAAATTGTACACTACAGCCCTGAACTCCTAGACTCAAGTGATCCTCCTGCCTCAGTCTCCCAAGTAGCTGGGGCTATATTGGCATTGATAGTAATAGTTAACAAGAAAAAGGGGACCAGAAAAATATTCCACATTCTCCAAGCATGTATCATCCAGTTCCAATGCTATCTACAGCAGAAGCACAAATAATTCTAAAGTATAAATGAACCACAAGAGCATCCTGCCTAATGCATGCAATGGGCCTGGGCACAAAGATGCTGAAAAAGCATTTAATTCCCCCAAAGACTTTGTATTCTATCCTGAGAATTTCCAAGTAGAGCAAGAACATACTTGTTCTGCTACCTCAAAGGAGTGCTGTGTATGTGTGTGGGGGGGGCAGAGCAGTGGGGAGTCTTCAAATGAAAGGTGCTTGGGCCCCAGTAGAGAATATAATGACCTTATTAATTCCATTTTTCTTGCATCTGGAAATAGCAGTAAGAATAGGAGATGTGTATTAATTTCCATTAGGCACACTCTCTGGTCTAAATATTTAATTTTTTTTTTTTGAGTTGGAGTCTCACTCTGTCACCCAGACTGGAGTGCAATGGCCACTCCCAGCCACCACAGCCTCGACCTGCTGGGCTCCGGCGATCCTTCCACCTCAGCCTTCCAAGTAGCCGGAATTACAGGCATGCGCTACCACACCCGGCTGATTTTTTGATTTATTGTAAAGATGAGGTCTCGCTGCCCAGGCGGGTCTCAAACCTGCGGGCTCAAGCAATCCACTCACCTCAGCCTCCCAAAGGCACGGGATTACAGGCTGAGCCACCGAGCCCGGCTTGGTCTAAATATTTAAGAGAAAAGAAACCATACAAATTCTAGCTACTAAAAACTAATTGACATCAGTATTTGAGGGGAAAGATTTTGTCAGTAAATTCCCAGTGAGGCTGGACTCAGTGGCTCGGTCTGTAATCCCAGCACTTTGGGAGGCTGAGGCGAGTGGATTGCCTGAGCACGTGGGTTCAAGACCCACCCAGGCAATTTGGCGATATCTCATCTCTACAATAAATCAAAAATTAGCCGGGCATGGTAGTGCGTGCCTGTAGTTCTGGCTACTTAGAAGGCTGAGGTGGAAGGATCACCGGAGCCCAGCAGGTCAAGGCTGCGGTGGCCGGGAGCATGCCACTGCACTCCAGCCTGGGCAAAAGAGTGAGGCGCCAACTCAAAAAAAAAAAAAAAAAAAAAACCAACTCCCAGTGAGTGATTACCGCTTACTTAGATCTTATACATGTATACAGGAAAGATAACTGTGGCCACAGGAATCATTTCTAACCCACTGCTCCTGAAATTATTTCAGGGAACTAACAGAACTTTGGATGGCCGTTCTCCAAACAGCTCCAATCCTGGCCCTCCATCATTCCTCTCCAAGGAATTTTCTCATGTCTCCCTCTACTAGCCTCATGGTTCATCTGTTCATTAATTAATCCATCAGTTTCTTCATGCAAGACACAACTAATGAGCAATTTCTATGCCATACATAGGTATTGAGGATACAAAAAAGAATGACAATGCCAGGTCTATGACAGTGCTTAATAAGTGTTTGTTATTAAATACAGACAGGGTGTTTGGCTTGCAAAACTATTAATGACAGACTAAGACCCAAACAGGGACAACATGAACAAAGAACTCAGGGTATACAAAGGCAGGCAGCAGAGAAGTATCCCCCAAAAAGTGTGGCAACTGAGCTGTTCTTTTTTACTATGAAAAGAGTAGAGATCTTTAAAAGCATTTTTAAAAATCCTGCTGGGAACCATTAGAAGCACATTTTCTGTGGCTATTTAGGTTTATGGGAAAAGGTGCAGGAAGGAGGGAAGTAGATTAAAGAATGAATATTTCTATTAGTTTCAACCGTTTATTTGCATTTTGAAAGTTAACTCAGAAAAAGATGGTCAAGTTTAGTGAAAAAGACCTTCCTAAACCCTCTAAGCCTAAAGACAATGAAGCCAACAAAAAGAGAACCCTGGTAGATTTCAAAACATAAAAGACCTCAGTGCCTCGCATAGTATCTGGCACAATGCTTAACATATAGCAGATACCAAAGAAATTGGTGGAATGAAAGAAGTAACTTCTATACATTGAAAAGACATCATGAATCGCAAATAACATGAATAAATGTGTACAATATATATCAAAGGATTAACATCTTTAATTTTAAAGAACTCTCATTGACAAATAACAGCAACTATTAAAATAGGCAAAGAACACAGATATTTCAAAAGTAAATTCAAATGGCCAATAAACATGAAAATGGGGAAATTTCTTAAAAATCAAAGAAGCACCCTATATCTTTAAGAGAAAAATATTAAATAAAAATAATAATAATGATCAAAGAAGAAGTTAGAATCTCTAAATACTATTTTTAAACTATCTAGATCAGAAAAAAATGTTTAAATAATCACTATCAGTGCTGACAAGGATACAATAAGAACTCTCAGAAACTGCTAATCAGAGTGAAAATTAGGCCAACTTATTTGAAACACAATGAGATAACTGCAGTAAAAGCTTTAAAAATATTTACACCACTTGACTTAATCGATTCTAGTGGTAGAAATACACCTTAGGGAAATAATCAGAGAAAATAGATATTCAAAAATATCACTATTTATTATTGCTCATATAAACACCATAAATGTCCAACACTAGGAAAATAGTTCAACACAGAACATTCACAATAGGTTAATGTATTTTTTAAATGCCTAATAACATGGGAAAATACGCACAATAATGTTCATTAGAGAAAAAGGACACAAATTATTTGCATCCAGCCAGGCACAGTGGCTCACACCTCTAATCCCAGCACTTTGGGAGGCGAAGGCCAGAGGACTGACTGAGCCCAGGGGTTTGGGACCAGCTTGGGCAACATGGCAAGATCTCATCTCTACAATAAATTTAAAAATCAGCCAGGCATGGTGACACATTCCTATATTTCAAGCTACTTGGAAGGCTGAGGTGGAAAGATTGCCTGAGCTCAGGTCAAGGCTATAGTGGCCGTAAGTGTGCCACTGCACTCCAGCCTGAGCAACAGAGTGAGAGTCCAACTTAAAAACAAAACAAATAAGAAAATTATTTGTATCTTATTCTACTGATTATATATATATATACACATACATACATATATCTACACACACACACACAAAAAAATAATGGAAGGAGACAGACACAAATGTTAATAATGACAACAATAATGGTTAACATTTATTGAAGGCACACTTTGTGTCAGGCACTGAACCAAAATCTTTTTACACGTTACCTTACTCAACCTTTATGACAATATCAAGTGTGATTATTATTTTACTCTGTGAAAACTGAAGCTTACAGAGGTAATTTGCGTAAGGTCATGCAGCTAAATAAGTAGCCAGACTTGCCTTTAAGCCATTAAATCTAGAAGGTGAGATTATGGGGGATGTGTGCTTTCTTTAAACTTTTCCTTTGTTTCTAAATTTTCTACAATGAGCATGTGTTAGTTTTATAATAAAAGAGGAAACAGAAAAGTAAGCACTTACCCTCAAATTTTTAGTAATTTTTTCTTTCTTTCTTTCTTTCTTTTTTTTTGAGTCAGGGTCTCACTCTACTGCTTAGGCTGGAGTGCAGTGACACAATCCCAACTCACCACAGCCTCAACCTCCAGGACTCAGGTAATCCTCCCATCTCAGGGCAGCTGGGATTACAGGTGCACACCACCATGCCTGGCTAATTTTTTTATTTTTTGTAGAGACTAGGTTTTATCTAGGTCTTTAACTCCTACCTTGCCCTCCGAAAGTGTTGGGATTATGGGTGTGAGCCACTGTGCTCAGCCTGATGATGATTATTTTTAAATCGCTTGAATTTGTAAGCATCTTTCTGGTCTGAGTGGCTTCAAAGATTCCAACTATTAAATCCATAGAGCATACTCTTCCTGTCTCCACTCCCGGGGAAGGCAGACACAATGACCAACATAAGCCCAGAGTCAAAGATGTGATTCCCAGATTTATCACCCTCCACTGACCACAGGAAGTTAACTTTTGAGCCTCACAGTCCTCTTGAACGAAATGATACTTACCTTACTCGCATCTTGAATGAAAAAATACCTACCTAATAGTGTTAGAGTAAGGACTAATCCTGAGATTGAGATTAATGTGAGGTTGAGGTGTTTGCAAAGGGCTTAGCAAAGCACCTGGCACAAAGCAAATGCCCTGAAAAAGGTAGCTGTAAATGCAATGATATGCTTGTTGGTGGGCTCTAGATTCCACTTCTCAGAACTTGTTTCTTTCACCATGGGGCAGAGGAACTGATCCTCTACCTGTAGACACACAAGACTTTCTCCACAGGACAAGTCTCTGACTCAATTCCTTATTTAAGTTAGACTGCCACCCAAACATTTCCTTCTGAAGTTCTGTTGCCTCCTGTCTACATGGGATGCACACTCACGCTCTGATCCGATCCTCGTGGTACCAGATGTCCTGGATGGGAGATTTGGCTTTGCCATACCGCAAGCGGGGCCTTCGGAAGACCGGCTCCCTCAGCGGGGGAAAAGCAATATATATGTCATACCAGAGGGGCTTCTCCTTCAACACCCCAGCCCGAATCAGGTCCCGAGTCCTTAGGGAGGGAAAAGGACGAAGGTCAGTTAGTTACAACAGGCCGCCCAAGCCCCTGAATCAGTCTAGCACAGCTTGGGATATCAAAGGCATTACGCAGTCCATAACACAGAACGGGAGTGAATGGCGGGAAAGCAATGCTTTCTTCCTACAGGGAAGATATTTCCACATCCCAAATCGACCTAACAATGCTCAGGGGGTAAGTCCGTCTGTCTTCTCCTTATTTGTGTCCCACCCCCATTCCGTTTCGCAAAGTGCAAGGACGGCCAAGTCAGGCCGACCAGGCTCCTCCTCCCTTCCTCTTCCAAGAGACCTCCACTTGCGGGGGAAAGGGACAGTACAATCTTTAACCGGACAGACACATTCAAGGACAGACGTCTTCAAGCACAACTCTTCGGACCCAGGAGAGAGCACGAGAGGGCCTACCCGGCTCAGGCACCTGCACTCTACAGAATGCCTCGCCCTGCTTAGGCCCACTCGAGGAAGAGCGTGGCACGCTGAGAATCCCCTCCCTGAGGGACACCCTCAGCCCACTCCGGCTCCAAGCACTCACCGCGAAAATATGCTCCCCACGGTCTCCAACCGGCTGCCTGCCATGGCCAGCGCCTGAGACAGAACGTTACAAGTCGCTACCGGAACCGGAAGCGGCAGCGCCAAGTAAAAGGGACATAAGTTGCTGGCCGATCGCTGTGCCCCCATCGGCAGAGCGGAGCAGGCAGAAGCAAATGATAGACCAAACCGGCGCGCTCCAGGGCTACTTGCCGGGTCCAGACAGGAATACTCGATAGCCGAGCCAAAGGGAGGGAGGGAGCCGAAGCCAGACAGAAGTAGTAAATGACCGATCTAGAAGGGGATAATTATGGTGATTGCTTTACTCTTTCTGGCTTTATTTAGCTAACACCCCTCGAGAAGGTAGGGCTGCGCGGAGGTCGTGTGGTAGGGGAGCCAACTAAGGGAATAATAAAAGCAGACATTTGAGGTCACCGGCTCTAGGCACGGACTGAGCCTGATCTTGGTCAGAGTCACAGACTACGCAGAAGAAAACTGAGGCTCGAGGAGGGGCAGTCACTTGCCAGGGGCCACGCTAGACCCCAGGACTGAGTCGTCCGTGTCCTGCTGTGTGGTGCTCCCACTAAACCCTCTGCCCCCGGAGTGCTGCCTGCCATCCCCATAACAGGGATGCTGGCTGCAACTGGCGTTCTCTCCCCGGGTGGCGTCGCTGGCTAGCTCCTCCTTGGAGCTTGAAAAGTGAAAGTGTCCGGAACCAACCTCCGAAAGGAATCCGAAAAGGAATCCAATAAAACTGGGGAACGTTAACTCTCAGTGTTAAACTGTAAAAATAAATAAATCAATCGTGCATAGTATGCCCTTTGACCCAGTAATCATACTCCACAGAAATTAGCATATTTTCATGAGGCTATTTCTGAAAGGCTTATCGTTGCAGCATTGTCTGTTGTGGAAAAAAAAAATCCATCAAATGGAAAATGACTCGTATATTCTATGGAATCCTGTGCAGCTATTTAAATGAATGAGCTAGCCTGGCGCGGTGGCTCACGCCTGTAATCCCAGCACTTTGGGAGGCTGAGGCGAGAGGGTTGCCTGGGCTTGGGGGTTCGAGACCAGCTTGGGCAACAGGCTGGTCACTACAAAAGATTAGAGGGGCGTAGTGGCCCGTGCCTGTTGTGGTTCCAGTTATTTGGAGGGCTGAGGTGTAAGGATCACTGAGCCCAGCGGGTCAAGGCTGCAGTGGCCGTGAGTGCGCCCTTCAGCCTCGGCAACAGAGTGAGACTCCAACTCAAAAATAAAATAAGGCCGGGCTCGTGGCTCAGCATGTAATCCCAGCACCGTGGGAGGTCGAGGCAAGTGGATTGCCTGAGCCCACGGGTTCGAGACCAGCATGGGCAACTTGGCGAAACCTCGTCTCTAACAATAAATCAAAAATAAGCCGGATGTGGTAGCATGCACCTGTAGTTCCAGTTACTTGGGAAGCTGAGGTGGAAGAATCCCTGGAGCCCAGCAGGTCGACACTGGGGTGGCCAAGAGCGTGCTACTGCACTCCAGCCTGGGCGATGGAGTGAGACTCCAACTCAAAAATAGATAGATAGATAGATAGATAGATAGATAGATAGATAGAGCTATATCCGTATGTCTTTACCTATATTAATGTTCATGACTGATGGTTAAATGAAAAGAAGGTTGCAGAGAAACACCTTCAGTGGAATCCCAACCTGTTAGAGAAAAAAAGAAAACACCTCCTCCTGTGTTTGTATGAGGATAAAAATTCTGCAGAAGGACAAACAAGGTTGTGAACATTGGATGTCTCAGAGCAATTTTGCTCTGAAGGGAAGGGAGAGTTTTTTTCTTCTTTTATATATGCCTCAGAGTTTGACTTGTAAAGAGTTTGTATTCATATTTGAACCTTCTAATCCAATGAATGTTTTGAATCACACACACAATATCTCCCAAGAGCCTATTATCTTTGTCAGCACAAAAGAGCAGCAAGTCATCCCAGAGTCCTCCCACTCTTCGGGAGGCAGGTGAGGGGGAGGACAGGAATGTTTCATGCGCAGTTACTACACCTGTGTGTTATCTGAGGCCACATACCTTCCTACAAGGCAGCTATTATTGTCCTCATTATAGATGAGAAAACAAGGCTGCAGGAGGTTAAGTAACTTCCTGATAGACAACTGATAGGCCCAGCCCCAGCGCCTTCCAGTAAACTATGCCTAAAGTTGAACTGCTGGTGGCTCTAGAGTCAAGCTGGACTGGCCCCAGAAGCAGGGAATCAGTGATTTGAGGCCCAGAGCCAAAGTGAGCCAGTCTTGCTGCATCGGGACTCTCTGGAACAGAGAAGGAGCAAAGCTCTCGTCCCTGGGCCAAGTGTAGAGACGCCAGTCTCCCAGTCCCTGGGAGGTCTAAATGACCTTGCCCTGGGGAGAGCAAACATGCTACCAGCTAAATATAGTCTTCTCAGGCCTTATCACAACTTTTTAATTCTACCCAAGTCAGAGCTATCTGCCAGCCCGGATTACAGACACACTTCTCCTATCAGGGCCAGCCTGTAGGTTATCAGTCACTGCTGCTAAAGAATTCAAAGGGTTATTCCAAGATCCAGGAAGGGAGCCAAAGACCCACACTCAATGAGGGAGGAATGACAAGGCCGGAATGTTCTCTCTGGATCATCTTGGACCAGTCCCTTCTCCTTCCTGCATCATTTTTAATGCTTCTGTGACTGAGAGAGTGGAATGTTGGTGGGCAGAGTGGAGTGACCTTGGGGATGTGGGAGCCTTCTGAACCTGCGCAGGAGTGCACACCCAAGAGACATTCATCCATAATACCGGAGGAGACTGTTGGGTAGCAGGGTACAGGCAGAATGGACATTTGAGGCTGTCTTCTTGAGTAAGGCTGCAAAGGCCTGGGGCACTTACTAGGCCATACCCTGCAGGAGAATCTTGATTATCTCATTCTATTGTTCAACTACCTGCTGCCTTAGATAATGTCCTGACAATCTTACAGATAAGGGAGCAGAGCTTGTAAACTCTCCAAAAGGCCAGGTTCCTTCCACCGCACCACTCAGCCCCATTTTAGTCCCACTGTATTGCATTGTAGATGTGCCCACTAATTGCATCACTCTGGGAAAGTTATACAACTTTTTAAGCCTCTGTTTCTACAGCTATTAAAACATGGACAGCCGGGCTCGGTGGCTCAGCCTGTAATTCCGCGCCTTTGGGAGGCTGAGGTGAGTGGATTGCCTGAGCCCACGGTTCGAGACCTGCCTGGGCAGCGAGACCTCATCTCTACAATAATTCAAAGAATTAGCCGGGCGTGGTAGCGCGCGCCTGTAATTCTGGCTACCTGGAAGGCTGAGGCAGAAGGATCGCTGGAGCCCAGCAGGTCGAGGCTGCAGTGGCCGGGAGCGGCCACTGCACTCCAGTCTGGGCGACAATGAGACTCCAACTCAAAAAAAGAAAAAAACAAAAAACATGGACAGCTGTGTCAACTTTTTTTTTTTTTCTGAGTTGGAGTCTCACTCTGTCACCCAGACTGGAGTGCAGTGGCTACTCCCGTGGCCTTGACCTGCTGGGCTCCAGCGATCCTTCCGCCTCAGCCTTCCAAGTAGCCGGAACTACAGGTGCGCGCTACCA